CCTGGGGCGTCGGCCCGTCCCGCCAGCCACTGCCCAGAGCCCAAATCCCCAATGTTTCCTCCAAGACGGCTCAAGATGGCCTCCAAGATGGCAACGTTGGCCCAAGATGACCTCCAAGATGGTCCAAGATGGCATCCAAGTCCGCCCAAGAGAGGAGGAGATGACTCCAAATCCGCCCGAGAAGCCTCCAAGACGGCCCAAGACGGCCCAAGTGGTGCCCAAGAGGCCTCCAAGACAGCCCAAGAGGCCTCCGAGAGGTCCTCCAGGAGGGCCCGAAGAAACTAAAAACATTGATGTTCCTTAGGTTTTCCAAGGTGTGTCGTAGTTGTTCCTTCTCGACTTTCCGACGACCCAAGACGGCCCACGAGGCCCTCAAGATCACCCAAAGATCGCCCAAGAGGCCTCCAAGATGGCTCCAGAACGGCCCAAGAGGCCCCCAAGACGGCGCCAAGAGGGTACACCAACGACCCAAAAGGCGTCCAAGACGCCCAAGATGGCCTCTCAGACGGCCCTGGAGCAGCCCAAAATGGCCTCAAGTCGGCCCAGAGAGGCCCCCCTAACGGCTTCCGACGGCGTCAGACGGGCCAGGAGCCCACCAAGATGGCCGAAGTTGGCTCGAAGCTGGCCCAATACGGCCCAAGAGGCCTCCAAGAGGGCCTACAGGAAGGCCCGAAAAGGCCACAACCAGTGATTGTCCTAACGTGTTTGAAGGATTTTGACATGTGCTTCTTTTCAGCCTTCCGACGGCCCGAGACGGCCCAAGGGGCCCCAAATATCCAAAGATCGACCAAGAGGCTCCAAGATGGCCCCAGAACGGCCCAAGAGGCCCCCAAGACGGCCCAGGAGGCCGTAAGACGCCCAAGATGGCCTCTCAGACGGCCCTCGAGCATTCCAAGAGGGCCCCAAGTCGGCCCAGAGAGGCCCCCCAAACGGCTTCCGACGGCGTCAGACGGGCCAGGAGCCCACCAAGACGGCCGAAGATGGCTCTAAGAGATGGCACAAGACGGCACAAGAGACCTCCAAGAGGGTCTCCAGGAAGGCCCGAAAAGGCACAAGTTATGGATTTCCCACGAGTTTTTGAAGGCTTGAGGCATTTGCTTTTTTCCTGCCTTCCGACGGCCCGAGACGGTCCAAGTGCCTCCAAAGATCGCCCAAGAGGCCCAAGACGGCCCTAAGAGGCCCCCAAGACGGCCCAAGAGGCCTCCAAGAAGCCCAAGACTCCTCCTCCTCATCTCCGCTTCCTTCTGTTCCTACTCCTTCTCCTCCTCCTTCTTCCTTCTCCTCCTCCTCCTCCTCCTGATCTCCCCCGCCATCTTCCCAGAAGTGCTCCCCGACGGGTTTCCACAACGGTTGGGGGAACATATGGTCCGATAGCTTGGCTGAGCTCTTGCCACAACGCTCGGACACATGAGCGCTTTCAAACCTCTTGCTCCACCACGCATTCCCCGAAGGCTCTCCAAACCGACTCGGGGAACAACTGGCCCGCTAGCTTGGCCAGGCTCTAGCCCAGCTGTCAGCCACATGGGCGCTTCCACAAGGGCAGGGAGCGGCGGTGATTCGCTGTAGGCGCCTTCGATAAAGCCAGCGTCTCAATATGCGCGGATGATTCCTATCCGCCCCCGCATGATGTTCTCAGAAGCGCCAAAGCAGCGCGGAGACGCACCGACGCGACTCTGATATATCCCATTCTGATAGAGAGGGGACCAGCGGCAGGGGGCGAAGCCCTTACGGATATACGGGATGCGACCGAGCAGGGTCATGAAGTTCACTGAAGGTTCCACCGAGAGGCCCATTCAAAAAAGGAGCTGCCCCCCCATCCGTGCAGCTGCTTCTCAGGATTACACTTCTTGTCACGCGACGTGGGGAAACTGCCCTGCATCCGTCCAGCTGTATATGTTCAAGGATTGGGCCGTTAAGTCTGCAGGGCCTCAACTGAGAAACCTGTTGAAAAGAAGGCGACCTCCATCCGCGTAGCTCTGATACAACTTACACTTCTGATGACTTGTCTGAGAAGTCTCAAGCGAGAGCGACAAATTGAAAACCATCCGGCCTACTTCCGCGTAGCTGTTGCTAGCTTGTCAGAGCACTGCGCTCGGCGCGCAGAAGACGAACCTGCGCGGCGAAAACAGAGGCACATTTTGACAAGAACGGCCCTCCGTCTGTACAACTGGCACACGCTTTTACAATGAGTGTGTGCGGCGCCAAAGCCAGAGCCACATCATGAAAAGATACGGGCCTCCACCCGCGTAGCTGTTGGAAACTTCAATCTCTGAGGTTGCACACTGGACGGAGATCGCGAGAGAAATGCATGGCCTGGCGCCCGGACACGTCTAGTGGTGCGACAGGGAGGAATTACTGCTAAAGAAATTGATGAGAAAGCTCCTCCTCCTCCTCCTCCTGCTCCACCTCCGTCTGCCAACCTTTTCTTACTCCTCCTCTTTCTCCATCCCCGGTCCTGTCGCACTCCCACGCGGGTCGGTAGGGCGGGCCAGGAGTTTCGACTGAGAGTTCCTCACCATTTACGATCCTGAAGCTTGAAATCCCACCAGCCCTTTGGGCGTGAGTGGTTTAGGGAGCTCTCTCTGTTTTCAACCCCCCAACCCCCCTTCTTCCCCTTCGGGGAGAGGTTTACCCCTCCCCCCACCCCCTCCCCCTGGGCCTGGAGAGGGGGCCCCGCGGGTCGTTGGAGGGGTCTTTTTCGACTCCTGGGAGGGCTAAAAAACGACGACCCTCACGAGGATTCTGGCCCCGACGGGGGGGCACCGTTTGGCCCCCCTCCTCGTCTTTGAAATCAAAAGCATTGACTTTACGACGGTTTCGGCCCCATTTTGGCCTTATGAGGGGCCAGCGATCCTCTTTCTTCATAGCAAAATCATTGATTTTACGACGGTTTTGGCGTCATTTTGTTTCTTTCAGGGGGCAGCGCTCATTTGCGCTTCTGAGAAGGTCGCAACAGGTCCCCAGATGGCTCCAAGAAGCCCCCAGGAGGCTCCCCAGAGGCCCCCAAGAGGCCCCCAAGAGGCCCCAAGAGGCTCCAAGAGGCCCCCAGGAGGCCCCCAAGAGGCTCCCCTGAGGCCCCCAACAGGCCCCCAGAGGCTCCACAGAGGCCCCCAAGAGGCCCCAAGAGGCCCCCAGAGGCCGCCAAGAGGCCCCCAAGAGGCCGCCAAGAGGCCCCCAACAGGCCCCAAGAGGCTCCAAGAGGCCCCCAAGAGGCCCCACGAGGAGCCCGAACGACTCACACCAGGACGAGAGCTCCGAGCAACTCACACCACGAAGAGCTCGAACGACTCACACCACAAGGAGGCACCCGAACGACTCATACCAGGACGAGCGGCCCGAACGTCTCACACCACGAGGACCCCGAACGACTCACACGCAAGGAAGCACCCGAAGGACTCACACCAGGACGAGGGGCCCGAACGACGCACACAAGGAGGGGCGAACGGACACCGACGAGGGGCCCGAACGACTCACACCACGAGTAGCCCGAACGACTCACACACAATGAAGGGCCCGAAGGACTCATACAGGGAAGGACGAGGGGCCCCAACGACTCGCACCACGAGGAGCCCAACGACTCACACACAAGGAGGGGCCCGAGCGATTCACACCAGGACGAGCGGCCCGAACGACTCACACCACGAGGAGCCCGAAAGACTGACACGCAAGGAAGCACCCGAACGACTCACACCAGGACGAGGGGCCCGAACGACTCACACCACGAGGGAGCCCGAACGACTCTCACACCAGGAGGGGCCCGAACGACGCACACCAGGACGAGGGGCCCGAACGACTCACACCACGAGGAGCCCGAACGACTCACACACAATGCGGGGCCAAGCGGACACACGCCTGAAAAACACGACTGTCGGCATGCTTCGCGAGAGTTGCTGCTGTGAGATGGGCTTGTGGGGATGCGCGAAGCGTAAAGAATTTGCATCAGCGTCACGGATGGGGGGAGCCGTTCTCAAATAGTGCATTCGACTTCAAACGTTACAGCAATTTCACGGATGGAGTGCGGGCGGTGTTCAAAACGTAGTTCTCCTTACCGGCCCACATTCGGCTTCAGAAGTTGCAGCAAGATCGTGGATGTATGGATGGATAGATGGAGGGGGTCACAATGCGAATCTCGCCTTAGCGCCGCGCACATTCGTCTGCAAAGTTTGCAGCAGATTCATTGATGGAGAATGGCTCCTTTTCAAAATGCGGTTCTCGCCCTAGCGTCGCGCCCATCCGTCGAATTCAAGATGTGCAACAACTTTACGGATGGAAGGTGGTACCTTCTCAAAATGCGGCCCCTGCCTTACCGCCATACACATTCGTTTAAAAAAGCTGCACGGGCTTCACGGACGGATAACGTTTTCTTTGTTTGGAAAAATGCGGTTATCGCCAGAAACGCGGTAAGTTTTTGGATGCAAAACTTCAACGCACGTAACGTTGCGCGGGTCCATGGCGGCTCTATTTCAAAGCGGAGCTGTCGCTTCAAAATTCCTTGAAGTTCATGACCACAAGGGCAAGCCTGTGCAAGACGTGCACGGGTGGGAGGGGCGGTCCTCTCCGAAAGTAGGATATTGCTGCACACCTCGTCGAACTGTGTGATCGTTGTTTTCTGCGTTCCTGCCTGATTACGCGGCAGTTGAACGCGAGGTAGTTGCTTTTCAAAGTGGGGTCCTCGCCAAAATGGCAGGCCCTGCTGTGCTGGTCTTTCATGGGGGGCGCTTCTGGCAATGGAAAGGAACACCTTGTAGGGGCGCATGGGCAAGGGGCGTGGGACGGGAGGGTGACTTGCAGTATCCCGCATGCTTTGACTTGCTCTGGTCCTCCTCCTCCTCATCCTCCTCCTCCTCCTCCTCCTCCTCCTCCTCCTCCTCGTCCTCCTCTTGTGGGCCTCCTGCGTGCCTCCTCCTTCTCCTCCGTCTCTTCCTCCCTCCCCCTGACCCTCCCGCGCGGGGGGTGGGGGGGAGAAAAAAAACGCAACGTGCACGCGCGCGGGCAGCAGCCCGGGGATCCTGGCTGTCGGTCTGGAGCTCCTCCCACTGGTCGCCGGCCTGTGCGCGCGTTGGCTCTTGGCGGCGCCGCGGGGGCCACCGCGGTGCGCCGTTATCGTCGCCGCCGCTGAAGACCCCCCCCGCGGAGAGCTGCGCGTTGGTGAGAGAGTCGTGCT